GTTTGTGACGTATGTGCATACCCAGATGGCATTTCGGTACGCGGAAGCGAAACTTACCTTTTTCAAATTCAGCGTCTCTCCTTCCCCAGGATGAACGAACCGGCTTTTATAACTCGAAGTTTTTTGACGAATTTTGCCCGTATTTAACCTGCATAGTGGGGGGGGGGGGGGGAGCATTTGTTTGCACGGGACGAAAAAAAACCTCGCACTGGGATTAATAGTGGACCGGACGACGAGCGAGCTCCGCGCTTGGTGACGCATTTATGGAGATGTCTGAGGTTTCGTTCATTGACGTCATACACGACCTTATGTCATGGCCTTTGGTACCAGAGGATAGGTGTTTGCTTTCGCTCACATGATGCGGACAACGTTCTGTGTGGCTGTAGAAAATTCTGATATTTTCTGTGGATGAGACCGCCACAGTTCCGCGGCCTCTGCCTCTTGGGGGAAATGGAAATCGTGTTCTGTTACGAGAGAAACAGGAAGGAAATGAGGAGGAAATATTCATGAAACGTGCCAATGAGAAGGTAAAGTAAGTAAAGTTTGTCCCACTATACGCCATGTAGGCGTTTGGGGTGAGTGGAGGTATAGCTCCTCTCTTCCTTGACCTCGGCACTAGATGGGGGTGAGTGGTCAGCAAATAAGTAAAGTAAAACGCAGGCAAGAGATAAGGAAGGGAGGAAGTATGATTGAAAACGGTATTGAGAGAGACCAAAAGGGGGTCAGTGAAGAACAAGGGAAGGAATTGGGGGCTGTTGATGCATTAACAGGAGATTTAAATTGTTTCTCAATATCCCCTTTGGCTGCGACCCGTCCTTCATTTTGTCCTTAGGACCGGGACGAGTGGGAGAACACCTCGAGAAAACTGCGTAATGCGGAGCAGGCAGAAAGGCGGTTTATTGACGCGCTGTGGTGACAGTTCGTGCTTAAAATTGAACCGCCGTTGTATTTCCAAATTGCCCCCTGGGCGCCGTTGTCAGCCATAGCTTAATGGTGTCGCAAACTGGACCTAATTATTTGGAACCCTCACGAAATTTGGAAGATACTACGTCATCTACATTCATTTTAATTTGTGCAGAATATTTTTTGCTGTAAAATAAGAAGGCAATCCACAAGGCACGAAGATGCAACATTTTTTAAAATATACCAACACTGATAACGAAAGCGCATTAAAACGTGTTTTTGACTGCCAGTAGAACCAGTCGTTATCAGAACTCTCTGTTGGTGAAATACTTTATTCGAGACAAGTACCCTTTGGCTTTTCGACCTAAATATTAAGATGGCGAACGGATGAAGGAAGATATATTCGATTATGCTGGCTTAGAACTCAGGCGGGGAGAGGGGATGATGAGATTCCTTTCGCCTTATCGTCTCGGTTAAAGAAAGTGGATCTGGAAAGCAGAATTCCGGAGAAGTAATTACATTCCAAATGTACAGCGATTCGTGCCTGTGATAACCGAAATATAATCCAGTTTCTTGTAACATCGCAGGAATTTTTGGTATCCCTCGTGAGGGGACAAAGTTTCATGCCTGCTCATAAGTAGAGTCGAAAAAGGGTTTGAGTTACTTCTTCGCATTGCCCATTGAAAATAAATGTGAAGTTTATCAAATAGTGTTTCCTCCTCCTCACCGCTTACAGTTTTTCCCGCTGGAAATGATGGAGACAATTGAAGGGAGGTGTCGTGTAGCTCAGTTGAGTGAGCCAGTAAGGACTGAATTTCGTGCGACCAAATTGAGACAAAAGCAATGACCGAGAATTAAACGAAGAAGACAGTGACGAACCATTGGTTATGTTATTTTAATTGTTTTGTGCTTGTCACAAGTCTTGTGCCTCGCATTATGGTCTGCCACGCCATTGGAAAATTTAAAGGCATGTGGGAATAACGGAGATGCAGATGATTTAATAGGCGACATGTTAAGTACCAGAATCTTCAAAAACTTAGTATTGGTGCCGTAAACAATACTTCTAGCAAACAATTGAATGCAAAAACATCTTTTATTCTGAAAACTGCTTTAAATTGTTGTCATTATGAACGAGGTGTCGCTGGACGAATCAGAATTGCTCAATTTATGTACACACGAGGAACTTCGTCCATCACAAAAAGCGGGGAATTTTCGATTATGGGTGATTGAGATCAAAGACAACAGATACTTGGACCCAGGACCACACTGGAAAACCACGGAATTAGCAGCTACGTAATTTGCCCGCATGTAAACATGAGACCAACTTTGCGTTACAGAGGTATGCGTTGGTACGGTTGTATGCTATGACGCCATACGTTTACACGTGACTGGATTGTCGCGCTCCAGGAATGTAGCAATAATCTACAAGCTCTCATCCTTGGGCAGTAAGCTTATCTCATCCCACTGTCGTGCTGCTTGTGCAGTGGGCTTATCTTATCGATGGTTCTGAGCATTCAGCTCATCTTTTTATCATCGCATTTGGTTGTTTGGGGATCTGCTCAACTTTCCTTGCAGACGGCTTTGGTTATTAGCAGTCTGCTCGCAGTTTCTTGCTAATGAATTTGGTTGTTTACAGTCTAATCGTATCTTCTTGCTGGTAGTTTTGGTTGATAACGATTCGATGTTTCCTACCATCTCGTTTGGTTGAAAATAGTTCATATTTTCTGACCAACAGCTTTCACTATTTGAAGTATGTTCATCTTTTTCTTACCAGCTGCTTTGGTTATCAAACTGCTCGTCCTTTTTGACGTAAATACGTCTGTATTTTAGGGTCAGTGTCATTCGGCAAAAAGTGAAACGAAAAAGTGTAACTTCATTGTCATGTTACCTAGGAAACGTCAAATTTCATTGTTATGTTACCTTGGAAACATCATCAGTTTACTCAGCATTGTTGTTACCTATAAAACATTACATTCATCTATCACAGACCCACCTTAAGCGTAACTAATTCAAGTTAAATAAGCAATGTCTTAATCAAACTTTACTCAATTGTAAAGCATGTATAAAGGAAATATTTAGAATAAAGCCAATATATAAACTTCCTTTCCGTATAGACGTATTTACGTCAAATTCTCCGGAACCGTGGTTCCACTATCACTTTTTTTATCCAAGTGGCTCACGTGATGATGTTCCTGTGAGAATGACTTCTAAGTGCGTATTCATTTCAATTTCCAGAAGTCAGCATTGGTCTGCTGCATTATCTGGATACCAGCATTATTTTTGGACGCCAGGAAGATTCAGACTAAAGTTTTTAAAACCTATGTCGATCTTTTCAGTGTGTATAACACTCTGGCGTTACATTCTTGGCCCCTTCTCTTTGTTGCATCACACCCAACATTTTCTGTGGACCTGAAACACATACAGGGAAGTGATAAACACTGCTGGTCGAAGACTCCCCTCTATGTGAATGAAGGTTTGTTTGTAAGTCGAGCGACACCATGGTGTTTCCAGATCCCTTCTGTATTTGTGTTGCCTGCTTATGATGAACCTGAAACTCACCCTTCTGTGTGTCCTCGGTACACTCCGGTCCAAACTAGAATTTTCTGAAGGAAAGAATTAGTATGTAAGATTATCATGTAACCTAATTCAACCGTAACCGATCTCCGATGACGCATTACAGCACAATATGAAAAATTAATGAATGTTAATTTTTCAGAAGAATCTTTTCGTCGTTGTGACGAAGAGATGGGAAAGTTAACTTTACTGAGCTGCATATTTTATATTAAATGTGAGAAATTTGTAGTGCACTGGATTAAAGCCTGGTTTACTTAACCTCAATTTGAGTCTCTGTGTCATTTCGTTTCGACATACAAATAAATGTTTGTTTCGAAGTGAGGATTTTGTTCTACTTTATGTGTGCTTACAGCGGTCTTTCAGTTCTCGTCAAGAACGAAGTGAATCTCGCAGTTGTGGCCATTTTATATTTGGTCGTAACCTTTGAACAGTTGCTTATTCTTTTAATCTGCTCAGGGTAGTTGACCTAACGTTGCGCCATCTTCACTGTTCCCACGGCCATTGATTCATATCAGGGTTGATTATGGATTAGTATGTTGCAGGGGAAGTCTGACCAAAGGTCATTTTCTTTTCAATTCCATGATTGTAAGCCGTAAGACCGTTCTCGACTTCTTGGGTCAAAGTCAGCATGCAACCATCAGTAAACTGGTTGGTTATAGAGTTATAGGAAACATGACGCTTGTGTTCATCGTAATTATGCTTAAGGTATTCTCTTTTTGGTTAATAGTCTGCTCATGTGCTCATCAAATTGCTTCAAGTTTGTGACGTAATCCAATATTGTGTGGGGGTTGCAGTTCAGATTGAGGTCATCTTATTTAGGATGGTAAGACAGATATGAGAAGAATTTCAAGCAAACAAGGATAGATGGAGTAAATGAGAAAGAAAGTTTAGTGAGAAGATAATAACGGGAAAGGAAGAATGCGTGAAAGTGTTTCAGGGTAAGAAAGAAACACTCGAGTGCAATGGAGAGAAAAATAGCTAATAACAAAGGAAGTAAGCAAGAAAGTAATCCTCTTTGTTTGCTTTGCATTTTTGATGTAAGTCAGATGCATTGTGCTGCAGCCTTGCCTCTGGATTAATATGTAATACCTTTATGGCGCTCTCTTAGTAACCAGGTATTGTCGCTGTTTGTTTTTGTAGAATCTCTTGAGGAAGGAAATGTAAACGAACGCAGGAAGTTATGAAATAGGGGCAGTACACATTTGTTTATTTTCCCACATCCCTCTGATCCCTAGTGGAGATCTTGTTTAGTTGTGTAAATGTGCCTTACAAACTGTCTGGTAACTTGGAATTAACTTTCTTCTTTGTTTCTTTAAATTTATTCTTGATTTTTGATTCTCAGTATGAAACTATTCAGCAAGGACTGTGCATATTTTGAATGGATAATTTTGCCTGTTCTGAGAGCTTTGTGGATTGAGGAAACTGGAAGATGATCTTTTAATATATGCTGTAATTTGTTTAGGAATCTTTGAAGCAAGATTTGGAATGTGTTATGACCTGTTTTTTTCTGTCTTTTGTTTCAGCCTTCGGACCATGAATCCACGTGGGCTCGATCCTGGAGTGGTACGGGCTGAACTGTACCGGGCGCTGGATGTCTGGGCACAGAATTCCAAACTTTCCTTCCGTGAAGTCAACGATGATCGGGCAGACATTTTAGTATTTTTTGAAAAGTAAGGTTTTTTTTGTGTTTTGTACTTTCAGGGGTTGCCAATGTAACTTCCCTTTTCAGCTGGTACGAGAATTTTATTATGTGGAAGATTATCTGAGTTGCAATTTACCACCTCCTCATTGGATTTCCTAAAAGCAGTCAAAGTTTTCATGTCATTCAGCATTCATGGATACATGGATAGGTTGTTGGGAGATTCTCTACAAGCCTACAAAGCATTAAAACCCGGAAGATCAACATTCTTCTTCTTCTTCTATGGCTCTCCGGTCCGTGTTCAGTCCATGGCCTCCTCAATTCTCCTCTTCCATTTGGTCCTCTGTTAGGTCCGTATGTCCGAGGCTTTGATCGAGGTTTCGAAACATCTTCCTTTTTACGGTGCAAGGTTGATAGCCTTGCGACCAACCCCCAACCTGGAGGACCAAGGTACCTGTCTTAATCTGACCTCTCCCCCTCAACCAATCTGGCTAGGGAGACCCTAACAACATTAGACAAATCTTATTTGTTTCCTGTGTATAATCTCTGATGTATTCAATGATTCTATTTCATCTGCTGAAGTTGGTGATAATATTTTATTTATTCTTTCATCCCTTGTTCCAGGGGCTACCATGGAGATGGCTATCCATTTGATGGGCCGGGGCAGATTCTAGCACATGCTTTCTTTCCTGGTGGTGGTCGGGGAGGTGATGCCCATTTTGATGAAGATGAAACGTGGCTTCTGTTAGAGGGGGATCACCACCAGGGTAATGTGTTGTTACTGTTTGTTGTAACGCAGTTGAAAGGATGTTTTATCGATTAGCATGCAAGGAATATTGGATTTATTGTGGACTGAATTGCATTTGTGTCAACTGAAATGTCATCTGCTATTATTGACACTTGCCAAATCAATTTCTACTTTTGTTGATGACTGCTCACATAACTCCGATCTTTACTATAGAGCAGATAGAAAGTTGAGTTTCGATCTACGTAATTCGACGTTCTGCTTTACATTGCACCATAATCCATACAGAATGGTTTGAAGAGTCCAGGTTATGTTTAAAACCTGGTCCATTTTTTTATGGAAGTCTCGTCCTTATTGTACGGTTCAGAAGTCGACCATGCATGAGGAACTGATCGATATTGAACATTGTGGAAGTCTGTCTTACCTGAACCACTGATCCATTTAAAATGAAACCATGGTACTAAACTGAACAGTTTTTGATATTCACTTAAAATGGAACTGATCTGTACTGTATATTTTGGAAGTACAGTTTACTACAAACAGAACATCACAAGGCTTTTGGTTTAACTGTGTTTAATCCTTCATACAAGATGATGCAAAGCAAAAGATGTGTTATAAGTAGGTTTCCAGGACCAATCTTAAAAGCATAGTAATTATTGAATACTGAATATTTTCTTTGGTAAGGATGCTCTTGTCTGAGTTCAGTTATCTGCCCTCATATTACATAAAAGTAACTTCTCCAACATGTGCATGGAACATCTGTTTAAATTAAATATTGCAGGTTTGACTGGTAATTCGGCATTCTCACGTTTACAGGCACGAGTTTGTTTGCAGTAGCGGCACATGAGTTCGGTCACTCCTTGGGTTTGTCCCATTCATCTGTGGCTGGGGCTCTTATGTTTCCGTGGTACCAAGGTCTCAAACCAAACTTCCAACTGCCAGATGATGATCGTCACGGTATTCAGCAACTGTATGGTGAGTTGTTTTGTTTAATCAAGAGTACTGACATGCCGAAACACATCCATCTTCACTTTTGATGACCATTTTGACATTGGTTATAGCTAGTTTTCCTCTTCTGAATGACATTTCATGATATTGTCAGGCTGTGAATTGTGTTTAATTATCTGATATGACTTCATCCATCGCTGTGTTCTTTAATTAAGACCAGGCATTTCATTTCCAAAATTGGTTCTGTTTAGTCTTCAGGTGACATGGAAGAGGGCATCTTCATTCTGTTGGACCCCTGGTTGGTTTAACCTCAGTCTTTAATCTGTGAATTATTTTCCAAATGTGGACAGTACATTGCATAACAAGTTGATGCTTAGGACGGTTTGAATTAGTCGAAGGTCAGGAATTCGTATTCTGCGTAGGCTAACTGAAGATTGCAGGAGAATTTCAATTACCATCATGATGTCGTGGGGAGTATGTCAGAATACTGTGGGACACTTCTCAGTCTTCAGGTCTGACCCCCAATCAGATGATGCTTACCCATGAGGACTCCCCCCTCCCCCTCACATGAAGAAAATGACACGCTGCATAGCATAGCATAGCATAGCATGACACATTTAATTTTTTATTAAAAACCTTGACCTGAAACATACATCGAATGTGATGGCTCGTTCTTTTCGTAAATGTAAGTTGCTTGCTTTGATTGCAGGCCCTAAAGATGATCGGAGAGTGTGGGAAATAATTCCTAATTACAGTCCACATCCACCAATAAATTATCCTACTCATCCACCATATCCTAGACCACCACCAGAGTTGCCCACACAACCACCTAGACAGCCACCTCAAACACCTAGAGAACCACCTAGACAGCCACCTCTAACACCAAGACTGCCACCTACAAGGTCTGACCCTGTTCCTCCTGAGAAGCCAACAAAGAAACCACACGGGAAGGCAGGCAAACCTGACACCTGCGATACAAGTTACGATGCCATCTCTGTTATTAGGAGGGAGGTGTTTATCTTCAAAGGAAGGGTAAGTGAGTGTTTGGTTTGTCTTTTAATTGTACTTTCCTGTTGCCTGAGACAGTGGGTCAAAACATCCCTTACATTTGTACTAATCCTTTATATCTTTCATTTGTTGCACAGATTAGCCATTGGCTCCTGTCTTTTTATTAAATAAATTTAATTTCTGTGTAATTATTGCTTTTCAGTACATCTGGAGGATTGGGGACAGTGGCTTATATGCAGGATACCCAGCAGAGACGCACAGAATGTGGAATGACTTGCCAAAGAATTACACGCACATAGATGCGGTTTATGAGAGAGGAGACAAGAAGATTGTATTTTTCATTGGTAAATTTATGGAATGCATACTGATTAGTTGATTATTACTCTTCTAGTGACTTCCTTTATTTATTTCTATTCTTAAAAAAAGGAATAAATGAGACACGCTAGTGCCTAGTGACTTCCTTTATTTATTTCTTAACAAAAAGGAATAAATGAGACACGCTAGTGGCATCTAATTTTAACGTATTAGGCACAATATAATTGTAGATGTAGTAGAAACTTGTATAAATGGACCAAAAACAAAAGAGGTTTAGGGTCAATGGTTTGCTTTTGTGATCGTGGTACAGACTTTCATTAAGACTTGTCAGCTAATCAAGTTCACAGCTGCATGAAGTCTGTTTGATTATAAAGTATTTAGTGACATCACATTTCAGTCTGTAGAGTTGAGAAATCTCGGTCAATAAATCGGCCAGGTATTTTGAGTTACATTGTACAGGTAATTGCATTACTTAATCATTGGGAAGCGCACACTTTTGTATTTATTAGTGGGTATGGTCAAGTGTTGAATTTTCTGGCTGATGAAATCTAAGTTTAACCAATCCAAAATCTGGAATCACAACTTCACTGCTTGGTTTCAGGCAAGCAGTATTACCTCTACAATGGTAATGAACTTGGAGAAGGATTTCCAAAGCCCCTCACTAACCTTGGTCTGCCAGAGTCACTGGAGAAAATTGATGGTGCCATGGTGTGGGGACATAATGGGAAAACATACTTCTTCAGTGGAACCATGTATTGGAAGTAAGAAATATTAATTATTGCATATTTATAGCATGGTAATATTTCTGTAGCATGGTTGCGTCAGTTAAAGTTTACGTTTATGTCTGGATAGTGGATGGAATATCTTGTTCTGACGTTCCAGGTTTTAGTGATATTTTAAAGCAGGGCTTCCTACAAGTGGTCTGTTGCTCAAATATTTTCCCCAAAGTTTTTGTAGAAACCAGAGGTGGAATGGGTATTCTAATAGTTGGTCCTTATGTGTTTTGATTTTTTTTAATACTGAAGTAAATTTTTATGATTGGTTTTTCTTACGAAGTGTGTGGATGTCTGATGTTGAAAGTTTCCTCTGTACTGTTACGATGAAACAACACTTATGCCTCATTTACAGAGAGAAGTATTATTAATGAAACTAGAATTATGTGAATTTGCGACGGGCTGATCCCTCGTATATAAGAGTCCTACCGAATGTCTCTATCTAGATCAAGCCAATGAAAAGTTGGGATCCGCAGTTCCCAGTATCCCACATGTAAGGTTTTTTTTAGTACCCATGGAATAACTAGGTGGCTTGTTTGTATGATGTTCTTGCAAAAATACTGCAAAAACTTACGAATTCACAGCTAGATTTACTTATCTGTGATACATTTAATGTTGCACCTAGGTTTGATGAAGACATTGGGAAGGTGGAATTGGATTATCCACGAGACATGTCCATGTGGAGTGGTGTTGGGTATAACATTGACACTGTTTTTCAATGGAAAGATGGTAAGTATTAATAATTCACACTAATTAATGTGATAGATTATTTGATGAGGGAATTGATAATTTATACCTTCTACAAAATGTTGATGAAGTGGGATTGGTGTTAGAAATAAGTGCCTACAAAATTTTGGTCACAATGTTTGCAGAATCTCACTGGTTGAAAGCTGAAATCGGTAATTTGTTTCACTGCAGATCTATATCTATAGGGAAATTTATTATAATGTTGCAGGATTGAATCTGCAAATCTTGATCGTATATTACACAGAATTTGGTGAAAGCAAAATCAAGTATTGTATATTTTTGAGGACAGTTGCTAATGTTACTTTCTTTCACGTAATCATCTTCTTTTAGGGAGGACATATTTTTTCAAAGGAAAGGGCTTTTGGAAATTTAATGATGGACGGATGCGAGTGGAGAATGAACAACAAACACTTTCGGCACCTGTTTGGATGGGATGTCCACGTGAAATGGAAAGGCCGACAGAACCAAGCCACCTACTTCCTCCTAAAGAATTGGATATTCAACCACTACCATCACAGTCTAACACAATCTCTGTTTGTGTAAATACATTACTGACTGTGTTACTACTACACTATGTGATCACACCAAGTTATCATTTTTAATAGTATCAGAATGTTGTGAACTTCTGTTTCCAAATTTGGAATTCTTATATTTCTGTGATACATTTGAATGGTTGTATTCTTGTTCCTCGCGATTTTGAATTTTTCATATCAGGATGGATACTTATTTCATAAACACTGGTCTTTGTTTTAAAAGTATTGAATATTAATTACAGGATGACACCACCATAATATAATAATATGCACTGTCAGATACATCAGTCTGTTTTAAGGGTATTGAATATTATTTAAAGGATGATATTTCTCTGTGGTATAATTTACACTGTTGGATATGCGTACACCAGTCTTTATTTTAAGTGCATTGAATATTACTTTTAATGATGATGTTAGTATGGTATAATTTACACTTTTTATAAATTACCTGCTGCTTCACAGACAGTGAACCATGTTTATTTTACTACATCTAATAGGTATCCTCTCATTTTACCTGAAGAGGAAGACAAAGCCAGCCAGGCAAAATGTCATTTTGTATCCACAAAGGACAGCATTTTCTCATTTTTATTTTAAACCAGTCGGAAAACAGAACCTCATTGAATTTACATTTTTCATAATTCTGCCTTCTCTGATTTTGAGGATGTTAACATAATTTCTTATGCAGAGTCTTTAATCATAACTTGAGTTAATAATATGAAGACTGCATGATCAGTGTACATAATACCTTTGGTTAAATGTAAGACATACACATTTTGGAAACATTGCCAATGTGTGTTTACTGCTTACTGCATGGGGTTGTAATTATAGTTATTTTGAAGATGGTGTAATATATCCCTCACACCCATGTATGTAATTTTGTGTATTGCAGGCTGTAAAATTACAAATTGTTAATTGTAAAGAAGGAAAATTCAGGCACTTGCTGTGTCAGAGTAAGTCAGCATCACTAAAAGACCCTCCATATTTAGGAAACCCTTCTGCCTAAGTTCTCACCATTAAATCTTGTAAGGGACATTGTGGTTTAACTTCATGCACTCTAGACCTCGATGCTAGGTGGAGGACAGATTAACACCGATGCCAAGGATCAAACTCCTGGTCCTTGTTGGATAAAAGGCTGGGTTAGCCCTCATGCAGTCTGCAAGGTTGTGAAGAGAAAAATGTCAACCTTTGATGGGAGTCCTGCCCTGCCTGATCCAGTTTTTGCCATTCACCTTACTGCTGTGATGGCTATTCAGGCTTGTGGCAAGTCATTGTGCACCATGGAGTATGCCAATACATGGACACCAGTAGACATGTCATTATAAGCCAAACTGACGGTGCCATCTACATGCGAATGAGTTTGATTTTATAATCTACCAAACCACTGGAAAATACAAGTAGCTTCTGAATAGTACTGAGTCGAAGGTAGGATTTGGGATTCTATTATGGAATGTGTTTTTGAGTTATAGTCATCTTGTTCATGATGGGTGACTGAGTTTGGACAAGTCTCTTCTGACATACGCTTTTCAGGTGATGTGGGTCACTTTCTTGATGTGTTTGGGAGGTTGATTGCAGGGAGTTTGGAATTTCATTATTCGAGAATATTGTGGTTATTGTATGCAGATTGTGTTTAAAGTACAAGGTCAGATTTTTCACTGTCATATGAATGACAGTGGCTAGTCTAGCTGTCTGTAATTCCCACATTGACAGAAATGTTTATGGCTAACCCCTTATGTTGGCATGTAAATGGCTACATGTGGATGACCAATGGCTACTTTAAATGTGAATCATGTTTTCAGTTTTGTCAAAATGGAAGTTGTGTATAACCATCAGATGCACAGGGCAGTGACTTGAATTTTCAAAAGTAAGACTTGCCTGTGATCCGTTGTTCATTTAAATTATTAACCTAGGTTGTTTGAGAAACTGGTCATGAGGTCTCATTGTTACCCTGTACCAACATTCCAAAAAGGGCTAAGATTTCTCAGGATCTGAGCTGCATTGTCATAGCCTCTCCAGCTATCAGTTTCTAAGCTCATTGCATTGCTTGTTCTCACTTCCTATCATGTGGTCTCATTCAGTTGAAAGGTCAACATAAAGTGACAGGACTGCACAGTGCGTAAAGTTGAACAGTTGACGAAATAGCACAGGGAAAACATACAAATGCTGAAACGGCTTGGATTAATATGAAAACGAGGCACAGTTTGATAAATCGGTCTTCATTTTGAGTGAACAGATCAAAGTAAGTGGAGGGAACCAAGTGTGAAATTGTCTGAACATTTAGCACCTTATTGGTAAAGTCATCTGGCATTATTTTAGAGTTCCTGTAATATGTGGTTTTATTCTTGAGCAGTATGACAGCTGTTTTTGTGTGTAGGGACTATATTCAGTATGAAAGTCATTTGTATAGGGGGACAGTTTCATGCAACAGAAATCTTATGAACTTACTTTAATACAAATGGTTAAAAATTTGCTTGGAAATTTATGAACAGTTCTCAGAAATATGTTGGGGTAGTTGCTAGTAAAGAGATTAGCTATAGGCTGGATTCTCAAACTATTTTTTTGCTAGTTGGCTTTCTGTTTTGTGGGTAATAGGGCTGTTTCCCTAAGGCAAAACAGCTGAAGCATGAAACTGTTCACCTGCATCTAGTGATAAGGTTAAGAAGTGTATGGAACTTACCTCCACTTTTGTGCGCAACTTTCATGACATGCTAGGCACAAGGATGTTGCCTTTCTTTCACTTTTGTAAGTCGAGTATGATTGGTCACAGTAATATAAAAGTTCCAAATTTCTCAGAACAAGCATAAATTTAAAAGCCACTGTCACATCAACTACACTGTTTGACCCAGCTATTAGGCCGTTACGCATTGAGCGATTATATTGAGTGGTGTGCAGTGAGTACCAGAAGTGTTTTAATTTGTGATGTTCCATTTGTATACCAGGATATGAAATTGCTGGCTTTGTTCATGGCTGAAGGGACTATTCGGTAAGCAGTTGTCTACAAATGTGGGATGCTGTCATTTGGAGTTTTTAATGCTGAAATTTACTTGCACCCAAGTGAAGGATGTTAGGCTCCTAATATGTATTTATTTTATGTCATTTTAAGTATATTTTATTGATGTAAGCAATATAAGGTGTTTTTAACATGGAATTTTGTTCCTTATGTCACTGGGAATGCCAACACTTCACACTGCCATCTACTAGGAGATTTAATTTTCCTCTGTTAATGGTGATTAAGCAAATAACTGGTTTTAATCTCCACAGACTTTGAATATGTGGTCTTGTTTTAAAAATGATGTTTATTTATAATGTCACTCATATTACATTACTTGTACACATGCAGTTGCAAGAGAATCTTGTCAGAAAAAAAGCATACAGGATATATGAAAATTGTGATCATGATTATTAACGTTGGTGCCAAAGTCATTCAAAATGTATATAATAGGGAATTTAAGTCAAAATTATTCATAGCATTTTTTATTTTTATTTTTCATGATCAGTGCATGGTATGAAGGCAGTTTTTTTTTTTGCGTGGTTCATAACACTAGTGGGCATGAATACAGGGAAGCTGATTGTTGTGCTATCTTGTAAGATAGAAAACTGATGTTTGGACATAAGAACAAAGGTAAAACCATTTATGAGAAATTATATTTTGAGCATTGTGGCACCTAGGAGGACAGTCTGTAAACAAAGGCTTACTTTTACAAGGTGGTATTCTCAGGTAATATATATGTTGCATAATTGACACTGAAAATGCGAACAAAATCTGCCAAATTGCAAGTTGTATTTAAACAAAAAGAATTCACGCTGCAGTGTGTATTGCTGCAATGTGGTTTGGTGCAAGTTGAATGATTGTCTTTGTTGCTTCAGAATTAAAAATAGGTCACCAATATTTATTTTTACTGTACTACTGTTTTTATTCAAATGTGTCTGTGTAATGCTTCTATAATCTAGTGGGCAGTGCAGTTAAGGAATACTGTTATTCAGTTCTGTTGACTGTATTATACATTAAAAGAATGTTTGTGAACTGAGTTATTGTATTTTATGCCAAAACTTGTAGGTAAAACCTAGAGACTGAGCAAATAAAACTCTTCCGGCAACCAGAAAGTAGTTCTGCGGTAACAGCATTGTTGCTTTGTATATCTATCCTAGGTGCTAAGTGCTCCTGTAGTGTTTTGAATGTGATGAAATATGGTACTGTAAAGGCAGTTCTAGATTGGTGCATATATGTTGTCCATTCATAAATGTAAAATGGGAAAAATCTGATTTTGAATTCCATAAAAGTATGTGAAGCATCTGAAAAGTTGATGTAACTAGGCATGATTAAATACACTACCTTTTGACATCATAGTATTCATGAAATCTGTAATTTATCTGAAGGGCATTAGACTAGTTTTGTAGTATCCATCTTATTTTTGTATCCTGAAAGATGTTCAAGGGGTTGTACTCCATTTTCAAATTATATTTATGGCAGCATTCTGACAGGTCTTTTGCATATTGCATTAAACACTTGATTAATCTGAGATGAGTTTGTAAAAGTCTTCTTTTTATTTGAATAGCTCTGTCCTGCCCCAAATTAAGAAGAATATTTTCTTGTTTTTGATCTGCACCAGTATTTATAACTGAAGCACTTATGGTCGTCATTTTGCACATGGGCTATGTACAGTTCCAGGCAGAAGGCAGAGCATGTCATTCTGCAATAAGTGTACACTTGGAAGTATTCTAGCATATTTTTTAGTATGCAAATAATTCCAGTGATCATGCAACATAGCTGCATATTTTGAATGTCTATTACCTGCTGTGAATGAAGGGTATTTTGTTTTTGATTGTCACACGATTTCATCAATATTCATTTCTCCCACTATTTTAATATTTCACAACCATGCATTGCTATAAGTGTGAATTCATGTTTAAACTAACATATTTTAAGATGTCAGTAATATGACCTAATACAATAGCCTTTTCTGAATTGCCATACATATGCACAGATATCATGAAGTTAAGCCACTGTTAAATTTTGCTTCCATATTCAAAAGTGGATGACAGTATGTAAAGAGTATTTTGTTTCATACAGTAAACCACCATCTCGGTAATCTGAACTGTTGAATTTTCAGTTTTCACAAGAAGACAGCCGTCTTCATACTCTTATGCTTTGAGAACTTTGAATCTCATGAAATTTTCATAAAGGATTATAAAGTAAGGTATGCTTGTAAATTGTATTTGGCTGTGTGTAACAGGTAATGAATTAAATATAGGATTTCAGTTTGTAATCACTGTGATATTTATTATGAATTATTGTAAGTACTATTATTTTACTAATTGTATTTAACATTTGTTTTTATTACATTTTGGTTTAAACATTAGGAAAATATTACAAAATTTAAATAAAACTTCCCCATAGGAAAATAAGTGATGTTCATTGTTCAGTTTCTTCCATATTGTATGAATATCCTTTTCCTATATCCATCACAAGTCCAAAATGTGAACATACTTTTATTTTTATTTGGGATCTGAATATTTGTGCAGCAAATATTGAGTATGGAATGTTACACATTGCTTCAAATTTGCATTTCCTGCCATAAATTTACACAGTAGTAAATTCTGTTCAAATTAGGTATGTCAGCTTCATGAATTGAAGTATATGAAAATACATGTTAAAACTGATGTATGTATGTGGGAAGTGAATGATCACTTTTCTGCTCTGTGCTTCCCCCCCCACCAAATCCTGCTCATGAAACCAATATACTAAAGCTAAATACAAAAACGACTTTCAAATGCCCAACCTCCAGACAGTTGTGCTTCCCCCCACCAAATCCTGCTTATGAAACCAATATGCTAAAGCTAAATAAAAAAAAAGACTTTCAAATGCCCAACCTCCAGACAGTTGCCCCTTTTTTATTTGTCATGCAGCATTGTAAACACCAGTGAGGCATTAGGTCTGAAGTGCAACCAACAAATACACACCCTGCTTTGCCCATTTGCAATATTTATTTCTAATCAACCATGTTCTATTTACATGTTAATGTCAAATATGTTCATTAGAATAGTGCAATTCAATAGAATAACAACTTTATTCATATAGTTAACAGTGTCAAAGCATATATATACCCACCATTTATTGCAAAATATATCAAACTATCATATGCATAAGATGTGAATTCCATTCTTTCCTAAAGCATATTGAAAAACCAATTGACAGAATTTAAGTTTCTTTAAAAATTTTAATATCTTTTGATAAAATTGTTAGAAGGGGTTGGATACTAGTAATTAATATCAGATTTAAATTTTTGTGTCTGGAATTCAACAAAATAACTGCTAAGTTGAACACAAGTAAACTTATTGAAAAGTCTTCTGAAAGGGGAATACACTATGCAAAAATCACAACCAACTGGGCAAGAAGAATAACATCAACAGCTGTGGATTCCAAGGGCTTCATACACTTTACTAACAATTTTGGGTACTTCAGCCATAGCACCAAGCCCTGTGTCTCCACAGATGAGAGTTTTGGCAATGCATGGAACTTCTGTATAGCCCCAATTCTTCAGTGTAGCAATGTGAGTGGCAGTGGCTGGGTGCTCCCACATATGAGTATTCATTGCTGGACAGAATAACAATGGTTTCTTCAGGTCCCATGCTCGTGCAACACAGGTCAGCAAGTTGTCACATAGACCCTAGATTACAGAAGAGTTCTCGATAAAGTGACAATTCATGGTAGATCATTACATATGCTATACAAGTCCAATGAGAAATATGGAAAGGTCAACTGATTGTCCATAGTGGGAGTTTGTTAACAGTAGACAAGACCTTTTTATGATAATGTGCAGTAACAGTAAACAAGACCTTTTTATGATAATGTGCAGTGGATTTGCAACCCTAAAATTTGTTTTTGGTAAAACAGATAAATGAAAATTTCTACTAAAAGTGCAGAAATAACATAAGTTTGTTGTTACTTATGTCAAGAGGCTTACTTTGTTGTCTAACAAGTGTTAAAAGTACCAATAATATTATAAACTTATAATAGTTTGTTCATACCTGGGCTAATTTTGCCAAAGTATTTGCATCAAGTGGTGAAATGATGAAAACATCAGCCCATTTAGCCAATTCAATGTGAAGGACTGGATCACCCCTTTTTGACCAAGTTTTCCACTCATCAAGATCATAATAAACTGGCACATTGATGGGTATGTCTTCTGGAGCATAAAAGTGCCTTGCATGCTCGGTCACAACAACTCGCAACTGTATATTCCATGGCACAGAACCTTTTGATTGTTGAATTATGGTTTTCAAAAGATCAGGCAACTTAATGGTTGCAACACTGCCTGTACAGCCCACAAGAACATGTTTAAAATTATCACTACTAGAACTCTCCATAGTTTTTGTAAAAGTGCACTTCTTAGTGAATTTATCACTACTACTGAACTATTTTTCTGATTTTACTTTGGTTTCCAAATCACCAAATCCAAGTTTAGACCATTCTTCTTTAGCCATCAACTGGTTATTCATCCTACAGTCCAAATATGCTTTTGCTTCTTCGCGACATGCAGAGTTATTGTTGGTATTTGTTCTTAAACATACCATGTACTTCACCATTTCCTTTCTGCACTGCCCCTCGTGATCTAGAGGAAAGCTACCTTTGTCAGGTGGAGTTGGTGTAAAAGTTTTCTGACCGAAGGTCATGGAAGACATAATATAACTGACTAACGTTACTTACAACTGAAAGAATTTAATTTCACTCATAACCTAAAAATATAACTCATACAGTACTTTTTTACTAGCCTAGAAAGACACAGAAAACCCCAGCACACTACTATGTTTGGGTAGGTTGGTATAATTTGTGCTAATATGGAAGCAGGCTGCTGGTATGAAAATCTGCACGTACTTAATATAGTCGAATGTTTCAGATATCCAAGCTTTTGGATGTAAATGTCACTTCATAATCAATGTTATATTTAGTGTCAATGACATGGTTGAAATTGTTAGAAGACAAAATTTCTTTTCATAAACAAACATTCTAGACAGCAATGTTTCGTACACAGTTTTGATAGATTGTAGCGCAGGTCACAGGGTCGTACAATTCAAAGCTGGAAAAACATGATTGTGTCACGTGTGTTAGATTATGGGTTTTGTGCGTGGTTTGTTGGCGCAGTAAATATGGTTGAAGAAGGAGAGTATTTTGAAGGATGTGACCTGGAAGGCCCATTAAGATGCATATTTTTATGTGAATTTCATCCCACAGCGGGCCCAAAAATAACGTGTCAAGTAAGTGGATTCGTTTGCAGAGCACTTGTTTGTGATCGTCCGGATGTGTATGAACCATCGATAATTGACCAATTTTTTGTTGTTAGCACATCGAGGATGAAGCGTATAAAATGTCCTCTTAAGATATGCCCTGGATGTTAATGGTAACTTACGTTGATGGACTTGGGCTGACCCATTACAATTAATCATCCTACCCAGGGGTCACTGTGTTAGAGAACCTGATTCTTTCAGGCTCCAAAACATGTAAACTTATAATAGAACTTTTATACTTTTAGGTTCCTGATAACTACATATCAAAAGAAGTATTTGATGCAGTGAGTGTGTATATCATTCCCAAGGCTCAACTCCAGAGAAGTATACTGACAGTGTAAGTATAGCAGAATGAAAGGGGTATTGTTTGAACCTTAGGCAGATGATATTGCTTTTAGTATGAAGATAGAAGTTGTACGTCAAATTGACATCTGTATATGTTGGCAAAACAGTATACATACTGAAGGTATGATTGTGTTTCAGTTGAGTTAAAAATCATTAAATTGTGTGAGTAGGTAAGGATTTGGAAAGTCATCACAGCCTGTTTCAAGGCTCTCTCAGTGTTGTCATGTAGAGACTGAAGAAAACTTCGGATGGCCAGTAGCACATCCAAGATTTGATTGTTACATCTAGAACATTGGTTTAGAATACTTATTACATCATCTTGTTCAGTAACTATTCTCGGAAGGCTTCACATCCCACTTCAATAAATTAGAAGATATGTTGTAATCATCATGTATTATTTTTTAGGACTCTGCTTGGATCTAAAATTCTTGGTTTTCCTATTCGAATAGACAACAAAAAATATGCTAGGAATGCATTCTACTTTAACCTGTGCTTCGTTTGTGATGCATGGGCTCGAAGTGTCCAGTATGAACCAGTGGTCAAGAAACTCTCCGACCACTTGGTGAGGATATACTCAGGTCCATTATGTAATTGTAAGGACATTCTTTTGCATATGCAATATTTTGTTTCTTGATTAACTTAAAGTTTAGTCAGTTACATCATGTGACATTTGGTGTAACTTTTTTAATTATCATAGCTCATTACATATTTTGTAACTAAACTAAAACATGAAACTTTAATGTAATTTTTTTTGGAGTATAATGCATAACGATCTGCTAAAGGAGAAAAATCCATGTAACAAGGATGGACAACAGCTCATATAACTGCCAGCTTTAGCTCACCTAGAGGGAATGTCAACATTTCTTATCCCACATAGCAACAAAATTAGTTAAGAATCACACAAACATCATCCTTCTAGAATAACAAAAAACTGCTCTGACAATTATGAATTAAATAATGGTCAGAATTAATATTTTCCCATAATTTGAAAATCTTGTGGAATTGTGGGGGGAATAGTTTTTTAAAAAAATATTTTGAGAACTGCACCATATCAGTGTGATTGTGAGCAACCACAAAATTTATTTCAACTATTTTCAGGTATATGCAGTTGCTAGGCCCAGACCTACCAGGAAGGGGCCAGTTTTGAGACCTTATTAATCATAGAAATGTTGTGATGGACATTGCTAAGAATTGCTGGTTAAATAAGTCCTCTACAAGCCCTTTTTACACTAAGCTCAAATTTAACTTAATAATTTTTCTCCAAACAATTCATTGTACAAATGTTAGTATTTGTATAAAACAGATCTCATTAACATGTACTCTAAAAGATTTTTCACTGTGTTGTTCTTAGCCCAGAGGCCGGCTGTTCTGTTTGTTAAGGTTTTCCTCAGTTCTCCAGACAAATGCCAAAATAATACCTTACACTATGGCACAGATAATTCCCTCCATTTTCTTTCAAACTCATTTTTCACCAATCATCTTATGCAAGTCCAAGTTGCTGACAGTATTGTTGAACATACCACAAGTAAAAATATTCAGTATATTTAATGAAATACAAGGAAATATAATTAATAACAATGCTGTGTGATACTAGTAGTAATACGAATGTTTGCAGCATTAGATTCTATTTGTAATGTGCATAGGCCAATGAGATACCATATGCAGAGTTACTAAAATACATTTTTAAAATATATGTGGAATATACCTTCTATCTCTTTTTATTCCTGGTAATTTGCTCTATCTGTTTATTTTGTATTGATTCCTCTTTCTTACTAGATTACAATGGAGTTGGAGAAACGTTTCCTTTCTAACCCACAGAATGAGAATGTTCCACTGTCAGCTATGCTTAAGCAAGTGATGGAAGACCTCAACACATACAGAATGTGCACTCTCACAGGTCTGTAACATAAAGTTACACCTTGCCATCATTATCATTTATTTACTGCTTTTTCTCAAGGATTGAGGAAGATATTTAGACCCACAAGAGATAAAATAATAAATGAGTGGAGAAAATTACATATCGAGGAGCTACTTTATGTGATATTGGTTAGGGTGATAAAGTCAAGAAAGGAGAGATGACCATACAGCATGCATGGGGAACTGAGAAATGAATTTAAAATTTTGGTTAGAGAATGTCAAAGAGATGATATGAGGAGACTTTAGACAGAAAGGTAATGTAAATAATGGCTTTAGAAATAGTGCATAAGGGTGTGAACTAACGTCAGAAAGGGAGAAGAGGAACATAGTTCATGTTTTGAGATACCTAATTTTCATGAATGGTGGTCATGTGACAGAGGGAACGACAACAATGCATCTGAAAGTGGTAAAAATTTCAAAGGAACCGAGTCCTGTGCATGATCATCAGGTGCCAATATTCATTGAGGAGCAGCACAAGTTTCGTTCAGAGCAGTGGGATCTCACTACTTATCAGGTAATAATATTAAGATGGCAGGAAGTCTTGACTTTTTCTAATTAATCTTCATAGAATTGAAAACCTGTCGTATAATATGAATAATAGTGGAAAAGTATGTTTACATTTCCAAATACATTCAGTGCTACATAGCTAATCAACAAGTGCGGAAATCATGTTGCAATTTTTAAATTTTACTCACAAAGCTAATATACAGTCAGCTTTATTGTATGCAGTTTAATATTAACACACTGTATTTTCCATTAATTTCCAAATAGAAAGTAATTTTCCCATCTTGAATATGAATTTATTAACTAATCAGTGTAACTCTGAAATGAGATCATTCTTTCATAATCAACTCTCTATTTTAACTACAGAACTTTCTGAAAATGTGGTACATATTTCAAAATAATCAAATTAATTAACCATTCATACGTAGGGCAGTCAAAAAGTTCCCGGAATTGTGGTATAGCACTGTAATGGTAGGA